TAAGTTTTCCTTTTCTCAACCCTCAGATAGTCTTCCCTATTTTCAAGATGGCCGGATTTCTCAAAATAGCTTCCCCTGATAATTTTTCTGTCATATCCTGTTCTTGTTTTTTACAGCACCTATCTTGATTTAGAATTATATTTCCTTAGTGTTGTCTACGTATGTAAACAATGGTTCCACAAAGACATGGAACATATCTGTTTTGTTTACCACTGTGTTTAATCTTATGTGCTGTGGTAATTTGAATGCCTTCCATAGGTTCCAGGTATTTGAACACATTGTCCCAGCTGGTGGCACTGTTTGGGAGGTTTATGTGTGGCCTTTGTGCTGGATAGCTTTTTTTTTTTTTTGAGACAGGATCTCCCTGTAGCCCCAGCTGGCCTGGAACTCACTATGTAGACTAGGCTGATCTCAAATTTACAGATATCTGCCTCTGCCTTTGGAGTGGTGGGATTAAAGGCATGTGCCACTATGCCCAGCTTGTGCTGGATAGCTTTAGTTGTCAACTTGACACACCTGGGTAGAGGCAACCTCAATTGGGGAATTTCCTCCATTGGATTGGCCTGTGGCCATGTCTGTGGGGTATTTTCTTGATTTTTGAGTGATGTGAGAGGGCCCAGCCCACTGTGGGTGGTGCCACCCCTAGGTAGGTTGGGTTTTTTTTTTTTAGTCTTTTTGAGACAGCATCTTCCTGTAGCTCCTGCTGGCCTGGAACTCACTAGGTGGAACACCTGCCTCTGCCTCCCTAGTGTTGGGATTAAAGGCATCCGCCACCATGCCCAGCCATGATAGACTCTTATTCCTCTGGAACTATAAGTCACACTCTTCCTTTTAGAAGTTGCCTTGGTTATGTTTTTAAAAAAATTTACAGGCCGGGCGTGGTGGTGCATGCCTTTAATCCCAGCACTAAGGAGGCAGAGGCAGGCAGATCTCTGCGAATTCAAGGTCAGCCTGGTCTACATAGTGAGTTTCAGGCCAGCTGGGACTACAGGGAGACCTTGTCTCAAAAAGACAAAAAAAAATTACTTTTAATGTGCATATATTGCCTTCATGTGTGTAAGTGCACTATGTAGTGCAATGCCCATGGAGGTCAGAAGAGGGTGTCAGATCTCCTGGAACTGGAGGTATGGATAGTTGTTACCTGCCATGTGGGTGCTGGGAATCGAATCTGGGTCCTCTGCAAGAGCAGCCAGTGCTCTTAACCACTGAGCCATCTCTCCAGCCCCATTTTTTAAAAATGATTTATTTAGCCGGGTGTGGTGACGCACGCCTTTAATCCCAGCACTCAGGAGGCAGAGGCAGGCAGGTCATTTTAAGTTCAAGGGCAGCCTGGTCTACATAGTGAGTTCAGGTCAGCTGGGACTAC